GGGAAAAGAAAATTAAGAAGGGGAGCATGGATACATTAAAAGCCAACTACTTGGGAAAGGGTATACCCATTCATATTGTATTATCTATCAAAAAGTTATCTCCTGTTATCAAATTTAACACAATTCAAGTTTTTCTCTCTCTTGCAGAATATTTGGATTAACCATTACATCATCTTGATATTAAATTTTTTTTCTAATGGAGACATTGTGGATGAAATATACATGGAGACTTTGCCTGGATTGAAAAAATCAGAGAAACACTAATGAGGCATGTGGAGTCAAAAAGCTGTATATGGCTTCAAATAATCTCCTTGTGAATAATTTGACATGTTCCAACGAACTCCTAAAACTACATGTATCCTCATAAGGCTTTACCTATAATGATTTTTGATAAACTAATAAAAAAGTTAGGCATGATCAATATATATAGTCCTTTATAGAGAGCATTGAAATAGTCATGAATGTGTCCATCGACAATCTGGCAATCCATGGACATGAGCTTTCCATCCACAACAGTCCAGTAATCCGTGGACAATAGCTTTCTATCTACAGAAATTCAGTAATTTGTGGACTGGATCATTCTATTTTTGGTGCATTGTTCGTTTAGGATTCTAGAATTAAATATTGGTTTGTTGATTTGTATTTCCTTGATAGTTATTTTTTCACTTATTTATATGGAGCTTCTCATCTTGTTTTTCACGCAGAACAAATTAATATACTTCAGTAATACAATATTTTATTTTCTACTCCTCTCTTATTCTAATTTTCAAGAGTTTTGTATATCGGTGTTTGAGGGAATGGGGGTTCTGGTTGAGTGTAGAACAAGAAAGTTGTGGTAGTTAGTACTTTTGTAGTTAGGAATCTGATATATTAGTATGGCAATATTTTGTGGTTCTTTATAAATGAAGTCATTACCATGTAAGAAGTTGATCTTCCAAATGCAAATATGAGAATATGTATGCATGGCATCCACATCATCCATTAATGGAAGGAATAAAATCATCATTCATTTATAAAGTCTCTTATTTTGAAAATTATTATGTTGTTATCATCATTATGGAAGAAGTCGATTAACATTATAATTATAACTTCTAATTTGGAAAGAATTCAACCTTAATTTTATTATTCAAATATAAAAAAATATTAAATCTTTCATAAAAAGATTGTGCTATCAGTATCTTCAATTAAGTGAAGTAATCAAAGAAGATATTGATTATCAAAACAATCAATTATTGATTTATATTCTCTTTGAAATGAGATTTGACTGAAATTTTAAATGATAAAATTAAGCATGGTCTTCCCTATATTCACCTTACATTAAGGCTCAAGTACAAGGAAGGAAGCTTTGGACTTCTAATAATTGAAGATCTCTTAAATTAATCAATGTGGCAATCAATTATGCAATCAAATCTTAAATATTTTGTATCATTGTTTACCCTTCTTGAAATTATATAATAATGTGTATTTTATTATTTATAAATATGGAGTGAGTTATAGTAGAATATTTTATTGGTTGAAATAATTTAAGATATTGCTATTATGCAATTAAAGGTAAAACATGATATCTTTCTCTTATTAGGGTCCTTTGGTGAGTTTTCTATCATCATCTCTTCGTCTGTTATCTTTACGTTGTCATTTTGTAGCCCACCTTTCACCTATATTATTTGGTTTCAAAGCTAAAACCTAGATTCATGTTGCATGTTTGAAAAAGTTTGGTGGATTATCCTTTTCATCCTGATATTTGTTTAGTTAATTAATCGTGCTTCTAAAGTTTTTCCCTTATGACTCTTTTATCCTCAAAAACTTTAAATTTTTAAGGGCTAAGTGGCTAGTATCATCTGTTCAAACAATTACTTGAAAAACAAGATTATCTTTCTTGTGATGTGTTTAAAGCATCACTTGACTTTATCTTCAATCCTACAATAAGTTTAGTCTTGGCCTATTTAATGCTCATTCTTTGGTGAATGTCATCCCTTCTTAAGAAATTGTTTGAGATGAATAACCTAACTTTGGTTGAATTAGGTGTATTTGTCCTAATTTTCTTAGTTTGCTTTCAATTTCTTTGTTTTTTTTTTCCTTTTGTTTTCATAATTGTGTTTTTTATTGAACTTTTATTTTTTTCTTGTATTGTGCAAGCAATGATTTATCAATCTATCACAATAATTTTAAACTTTATGGGCAAAGGTTTTTTGGAAGAGTTGTGGAATACGATGTAGAACAAGAAAGCCTTGACATAAATCTATTTTTTTAGATAGTGTTCACCCTCTCCAATAGGAAGCTAGCGCCGCCAGGGAACTCGCCTTCAGTTACTTGTGCAGCTTCCTCATCTCACTTCTCTTCTTCCTCCACTTGTGACATAATCGCAAACATCCTCCGTAATAGTGATTGTTTTCATCTCAACGTAAGTTTGCCTTGCCGCATCCTCCGACTTAAGTTTAAAACTCAAAATGATATAATGCACATCTTAATAGCAATAATTCATACAAACAGTCAAATTTAAATAATAATCCTAGATCCTCTAAAAATATTGAGGCGATCAACTCAATCACAATGCCCCCAAAATTTTGTAAATACATTGTAAAGTGCATATTCAATTATGATTGAATATATGCATGTGATATGATAAATGCTTGAACTTATATTTACAGAATATTGCACCAGCTAAAAATAAAATGGACTTAAATTTCCTCTCTTCAAGAAACATGCAATATTTTTTTTAAAAATTGAGCAACATTTTTTGAAAACTTATCAAATCCATTCAAATTTAAATTTTTTTAACATGTTAAATGCATACTCATAATGAGTTGCCCTACTTAGTGATTAGGGTCATAACTCTCACATTTCAAGTTTGATCCTTCATATCCCAAAGACTTGAGTTAACAATACTTGAACCCATGACAAATATTCAAGTAACAAATTTGAAATAATTGCAACTAAAGAATGATTTTAAAATTTATACTTTTAGTTTAAGCAAATAAGCTTACATCGTCGTACACTGGGAACGAAGTACTCAACTACAAAATCCACATAATTATTTTCTTTCATTTGTATGAAGTCTTCAAATCCTTCAATAAATAAAATTCATTCTCAAAAATTCAAACTCGCAGTATCATGCTTATATGGTATAATCATGAGTACTAACCTACATACATGATCCTTTGCTTGTGGAGGTAAAATTGACAAAGTTCATAGCACAATAAATATTCAAGTGAATCCAAGTTCTAAGCAAACATATGAACTTGATCATCTATAAGCAAGCGAGTAGAATTGATAATGTTTAATGCAATACAATCTAATCATACATGTTAGCTCCATGATGGGTGTGATTATGGTACATCACAGTTAGATGGGTCATTTTCAAAAATCATTCCTTCAAGTTATAAATATAAATAATACAAACAAGTTACACCAATTATATTCGCATTAATGGATAAACTCAATTGGAGAGTGTCGTATTTTCAAAATGCCTCTAATTTTAATTCAAAATGCCTCCAATTCTAAAACAAATCATTTCAAGTTCAAATCTTAATAAAAATGCAAAAATTCAAAAAAAATGGTAAAATTAAAAAATATTCAAGCAAAATCCACCACTCAAACTAAATAAAATGCTCATTATTTTCTGCAACTGTTTATCGAAATTTATAAATTTAAGATAACCTAAGCTCACAAAGAGGTAATTATCATATCAAGCACATCTCAATGATCACACTCATAAATGTTTGTTTGTCTATATGATAATCCTTACTTAATTGATAACCAAAGAATGATAATTAGTTGCAATGTAGTTATATTAATTATTCAATAACAAACAAATTACAATGTAGTTACATTGTAATTATTCAATAACAAGCAATCTACCCACTAATCATACCAATTTCCTACACTACTATAGAAAACTTACATTAAAATACCATCATACAAATTGTATCAAGATGGGTTTAAATACTATTAAATTTATCTTGAAATTAGTGCAGTGCAAAAATTTCAAATATAACTCATCTTGATACCATTTGTATTAAGATATTCTAACAAAGTTCTCTTCAATAGTAATTGCTTAAATGAAAATTGCTTGTCTTTCAGTCTTCCAGTAGTTCCTCTTAGTTGCTACTTCCTTTCCTCCACTGCTGCACGCAAGCAGATTAGATGCAATCTCTTAAAATTTGAAATGAAACATTCCACACATCTTAATGAATTTTTTTGTGCAAACAATAAATTTAGATAATTTAAATCCTACAACGATCATGATGTAATATTCAACTCAATCACAATGGCTCAATAATTGTGCAAATGCACCAAAAGGTGTGTATGTCAAAACATCAATGTGCTCAAACAAATGTAATAAATGCTCAACTTTAAAGCCAAATATAATATCGTGCAAACTAAAAATAAGATTTACTTAAATATTCACGCTTGGAGAACGATGGAACTCATTTTGACAAGCGAGCAAGTATTTTTTAAAACTCATTGAACTCTCTTTTAAATTTAAAATCTTCTACATGTTATTCTTTCAAGCAGGCCGCCCTACCGATATTGTAGGGTTGTAAATTTCACAGTTCAAATCGGATCCTCCATGCCCCAAAGACTAAGATTGACATGATTTGAATCATATGATAAATATCCATGATTTTTTTTTTAATTAATCACATTCAATTAATGATTTTAAATTTTCTACTCTTATTTTAAACAAACAAGTTCATGTCATCTTGCACTAGGAACTAAGTTCTTAATTGCAAAATTCACAAGGCTATTTTTTCTTTTGTTTGCATGACGCCTTAAAAGCCTTTAATAAAGAAAATTCATTTAAAACAATGCAATCTTAAGTATTGCGTCTATAAAGTATAATTGCAAGTTCTAACCTACAAACCCGATCTTCTGCAGATGGAGATAAAGTCAGACAAGGACAAAGCCCTTCTTGAATAATATCTCTTTCCTTATCATCGTTATTATTGTCACCAACATCACTTTGATTTCTGTGTTTTCCATCTATCCTTTCCTGTTTGAAATCTGTATTTTCGTCTCATTCTCATTCTCTTAGTTGTTTTGCCTTTCAATTTTATTTAGGTCACGGATCGTCTCTTAGCAATGAATCTTCTTGGGAAGTGGATTCTCTTTTGAAGGTCAAATCCATCTACATAAGTTCTGCAATATTAGCTGCTAAAAGCCCTTTTTTCTACAAGGTAATATAAGTTGTGCTATTATGTTCTTCAGTTGGTCTTTTAAATTAATGGTATTTATATTACTGATTATTCGACATTTTTTTTTGTTGCAGCTTTTCTCAAATGGCATGCGTGAATCTTATCAGCGGCATGCTACCTTGCGAATTAATGAGTCAGGTTGTTCAAAAGTCCTACTAATATATGCATCTAAAACATGAAAAATTTTAAAGGTAATTGTAAACATAAACCATGTAAAATTGCTGCATTACTCTCTGCATGAAAAGATTTCTATATCCTCCATTCCGTTTTCTTAAAAAACAAAGTGTGTGGAAATTAAAAGAGGTGCTCAGATAACATAAATTGTTTATATGGTCTATCTGTTACATTTTGCTGAACACCCACCATTATTCCAATCATTTGGCTCAAAACAAGCAAAAAATGTTTTTGGACAATATTATCATTTACTTATCGAACTGTAACATTTCCACTCTAATCAATGAACCCTTAGAAACTTTTTGAACATTTATTTGTGTTATTTTTGTTATATTGATTATTTATCAGAGCATTCTTAGAATGTAGCTCAGAATGATTTCTAGAATGAAAACTAATGTTTTTAGTTTATTTCATTTGTGCATTCTATTTCCATTGAAATTTTTAATGGACCCCGCTTTCCTGTTACAGAGGAAGCTGCTCTTATGGAACTGCTGAGTTTTATGTACAGCGGGAAGTTGTCAAGTCTCTCAGCAACAGCTCTTCTAGATGTTCTTTTGGCGGCTGATAAATTTGTGGTTGCTTCTTGCATGAGGCACTGCAGTCTGATGCTAAGAACATTGCCAATGACTACAGATTCAGCACTCCTCTTTTTAGAACTCCCATCCAGTGTTTCTGTGGCTTCTGCAGTTGAGCCACTTACAGATGCTGCCGAAGAATTTCTTGCCAATAAATATAGGGATATAAGCAAGTGAGAAAATATATTTAAGCATTAACTTCTGCATTTACATAACTCCAGCAAGTAATAAGTTTTTTACCATTAGGTTCCAGGATGAAGTGATGAATCTACCCCTAGCCGGCATTGAGGCAATCCTGCTCAGAGATGAACTCCAAGTAGCTTCAGAGGATGCTGTTTATGACTTTGTGCTAAAGTGGGCTCGAGCACACTACCCGAAACTGGAAGACAGGCGAGAAATACTCAAATCCAGTCTCGGACGCTTAATCCGATTCCCTTTAATGACTTGTCGGAAGTTGAGAAAGGTGCTTGCATGCAATGAACTTGACCATGAGACCGCCGCTAAAGTTGTCATGGATGCATTGTTCTTCAAGTCCGAGACCCTGCACCGGCAACGTGCACTCGCCTTAGAAGATTTCATCAACCGACGGTTTGTTGAACGGGCTTACAAATATCGTCCAGTGAGGGTGGTCGAGTAGTAAAAAAAGATTTAGTAAAAGAATGGTTAGCGCTGAATCAATTGCTGTGGTTGTTTGATTGTCAACTCTGCTCTCAAATGAAGAATATCATTCATGAAATACTGACTATCCTCAGCCATAAAAGCTGTCCATGAAATTGCAAACAAATTTCTATATCCAACTACTTCGCCTCCTGTAAAGGTATAATATCCTTTGTGTTGGCTAACAAACTCTCCGGCCTGTTTCACCCTCGCCGCAAATTCATAGTCTACTATAAAGCTCAAAGAATCTTTTTCCTGCATTCCCAAGAAAAGTCCAAAGCAAAATGAGGCTTGTTGATCCATGTCGCAGTGTGCAGAGAGGAAGAATTCATAGCCACCTAAGTGGAATGCCTGAGAACAGACACGACCGCATGGAAACAAATTTGCACACTCCTCCCTGTTTAGGTCTAGATAAACGATGCACTGAGGATGGGATTGATCAAACTCGACCACCTTCACTGGACGATATTTGTAAGCCCGTTCAACAAACCGTCGGTTGATGAAATCTTCTAAGGCGAGTGCACGTTGCCCGGTGCAGGGTCTCGGACTTGAAGAACAATGCATCCATGACAACTTTAGCGGCGGTCTCATGGTCAAGTTCATTGCATGCAAGCACCTTTCTCAACTTCCGACAAGTCATTAAAGGGAATCGGATTAAGCGTCCGAGACTGGATTTGAGTATTTCTCGCCTGTCTTCCAGTTTCGGGTAGTGTGCTCGAGCCCACTTTAGCACAAAGTCATAAACAGCATCCTCTGAAGCTACTTGGAGTTCATCTCTGAGCAGGATTGCCTCAATGCCGGCTAGGGGTAGATTCAAAGTATAAACTCACACAAACATCATATATGAAAACTTTGAACTTAAAACACAGTGGATATCCTATGCTCCCAACCGACATATCAAAATGGGTTACATACATTTTATACATTCAAATTTAAAAATTGTGATGGCCTATTGCTGTGCTAATTTTCTTATTAGAATCATCCAATGAAGAAAGCAATAGTTGATGCAAGATCCTCTTCTCTTCTGGTGAAACCACAGGAAATATAAAATTCTCTTCACCTTCTTCCCAATGTTGCTTCATGACTGCTTCAGCAAAACAGCCGCCAGCTTCTGCGGACCAAAAGGAATGTCCTAGTAAATTAATGGTGATCTTGGTAAGAGCAGCCCTATAATTTGACTTTATCGAGGCCTCAGCAAACAAGCATACTTCGTGACTTCTATCAAGCGTTATGGTAAGCCATTTCCGGTCTTTATCTGCAGGTAAAGCCATGAAGAACAACCAAACCCAGAAGGCAAGTTACACTTGTTGGTGGCAACAAGTGTAACTTGCTTCAATCTCCTTCTGTTATTTTTGAATCTCATCAACTCTAATACCAGCTCAAGTGTGCGCATATTGATCTTTTATCATTTTTTAACTTTCAGAACACCCTTTTTTCCATCTTTTTTTTTTTTTCGGGAAGTTTGTCTTGTCATCACTTTTTCTATTTATGATATTTTTTTAAACTTGAAATTATATTATTTTATCTTTGTTCATTTGTTGAATCAGTAATAATAGTTTTCTTTAGTATTTGGTGTATTTTCCCTTTCATTAAAGCTTTCATAAATTTAATCAAATTTATGAGAACTCTTACCGTGATCTTTTAGCCTGAAATAATGAATTTTTTGGCAACCATTTTTTATCTCGGATAATTTACTGAATGACTGAACCTTTTTTGGTGATGAAGTTTTGCATTCAACCTATGATGCTTATGTGAGTTTTATAAATTCTATAGTGTTCATGTTTACAATTTATATCTAAATGGGTTTATATGTATTTCTTTTCTACAAGATGATCATTACAAATTTAAGAGAGTCAACCTTCCACCAGTGAGGCATCTTCTTCTAGATCTACACAATTCTCTAACTACACAGTATGTGGTTAGTTATGTATTAGGGTCCCAAGCATACAAATATGAGGCACATGCCTTTGCCTCAACAAACTATGGTGATAGCAACATTAAGGATATAGTTAACCGAAGGGTAGCTGCACTCGCTGAGGAGATAGAACATATGCGATAAGTACAAGCCGATTTAGATAAGAACTTGATTGAATATGGATTTTAGATTTAAGAATTAAAGTGATTAAAAGTAGACTGGAATTTGGATCGATATTAAAGATTGAATTGAAACTAGATTTTATATATTTAAGATTTAAAATGATTGAAATTGTAATTTAGATTTAGATTGAAGATTTAATTGAAACTGCATTTAGATTTAAAATTAAAATGGTTGAAATTGGAATTTCTTAAAGTAAAGACTTACTTCAGGAAAAAAATTGCATTAAAGTCTCTTGGTGAATGAAGATTCAATAAAGGAGGTCTCATATAAGAGCTCACTCATAGAGAACAAAATTGCACGCATTAAAGTCACTTAGTGTAATCAACTTGAAAATTTAATCATATATTCTGAAGAGTTGTTCAATTTTTATCTTCTCTCTTATGTTCAACCTGCACTTGAGTGAAACAAGTCAATAGCGAAGCTATAACTTTTTCACAGTAAAAAGGGAGAAAGATTTCTAAATGGATAGAGATTTTGATGAAGTAGTGAGTTCTAGGATCTCACTTGTAAACATTATTTTATCAATCTTTTTTTATTTGGAATTATTTTCAAATTGAAATAAGTTTGTATTGGGAAAGCTTTTAATGGCTCATTATTTTAATTGATTACGGAATAGATTATTTCTCTAATTAAGTTTATTTGATTTGAGATTTGATTGATGCATTATATAGGGGATTTAATTATTGCATTAATTAGGGATTTGATTGGAGATTTGATTGATGAATTAATTAGGATGTCTAATTATTATATTAATTAGGAATTTGATTGGGATCAGATTATCAAGCTTTTTCTTAATTTACTTTGGCTCAAATCTATAAATAAAGCCCTAGAGGCTGCTATTGAATGTACGAGATGAGATAAAAGAAAGAATGAGAGCTATTGCAATTTCCTATTGTTCTCCAATATAGTGAAATCATCATCCCCTCCTTGTGGACATATGCATCTTTTGTTGTGTGATTTTATTTTTGTTGTGATTATTTGCACAATAATTGGTATCATAGCCAAATTTTGGTGGGATTTCTAGCGGCAGCTTGGAGAGTTTGACAAAGGTTTTGCTCATCCGTTCAAAATGAAGGTTCTATTCATTCATTGTTGGGAGTAGAAAGGACCCATATTGGTATAGTTTCTGTAATGTTAGACAACTTTAATTTGGTGGAGGCTATGCAATTTGGTGGAGCCATGGATACATCCACTTCAATGGTGCAGAAGTTGTTGATCCATAAGGTGATTACACATCCTGACAAAATTAATGTGACAAAATTTGATGGTAAAAGGAACTTTGGTATGTGGTGTCGTGAGGTGATTGATGCGTTGTGCTCTTTAAAATTTGAGGAAGTTCTAGAAAGTGATTAATATCCCAATGAGATTTTAGAGAAAAATTGGATTAAGATGAACCGAAGTGCTTGTGGCTTGATTATAAATTACATGTCTTAAGAGATTAATTATGGGGTGATGATGAAGACTCTACTGTGAAGTTGTGCGAGACTTTGGAGAATAAGTATTTGACGAAGAGCGTAGAGAATCGTCTCTATTTAAAACGGCGCTTCTATAGGTTTTCGGATTAGGCATGGGATTACAATTAATGAGCATTTGATTGACTTCACAAAGTTATTAATTGATAGATCTTTTGAGTTTGGATAAATAGACTAGAGATGAAGAAAAGGGGCTCGTTTCACTAAATTCACTACTGGATGAGTACGAAAAATTTATGATGATACTTATTCGTTGGAAAGAGGTATTGAATTAAGGTGAGGTGACTAATGCATTGTTGAATCACAAGTTGAGGTGTCAGGACAAGGAGTCTGTAAAGATGGATTCATCTAAGGCTTTTACACTCCAATAAAGATGATCTGAGAAGAAGAAAAAGGGTGGAAGTAAGTAGAGTAGGTATCATGGGTGCAATCATGGGAAGAATCAGTGTGCTTTTGGCTTGAAGACTGGTCATTAGAAAAAATATTACCCAAACTTGAAGGAGAAGTAAAAGAGAGTGTCCACTAATGCTAAACTTAACATGAAAGAGCATGAAATAGATTATGATATATCATTATCTACAGTTACTCAAAGTTTCTATTCAAATTATTCCTGCTGGATTTGGATATTGGCACTACCTATCACATTTGTTCCATTGGGGATTAGATTAGTACCTACAGGGAGCTTGATAGTAGTGTTGTAATCGTAGGTAATGATTAAGCCTATCGTACAGTTGGTATATGGAGCATCTTCATTAGGATGCATAATACTATTGTGAGAAAAAGGCACATTCTAGATACCAGGAAAAATTTGTTGGGGCTTTAGAGACCTAGGGCTACAAGTTAGATATTTAGGCAGGAGTTTTGAAGATATATCATGGAGCACTTGTTTGTTTAAAAGAAGATTATCATTATAACCTTTACTACCTTTAGGGAAGATCAGTGATTGTATTAAGTGTTATTGTTGACGATTCTTCTAAGACCACTTCATTATGGAATATGTGGCCAGCTGAGTCAGAGCAAATTCTCTTATGTCTTTGCTGAAGCAAGGATTAATTAAATGAGCAAGCAATTGTAAGCTTGATCTTTTGTGAATATTGTGTGTTTGATAAGAAGACATATGTATCCTTTGGTACTATCATCCACAATACAAAGAGTATCTTGGAGTATGTTTCACACATATGTTTGGGGCCCAACGAAGATAGAATCATTTAGCGTACAATGATACTTTATCTATTTTGTTGATGATTACTCCAAATATGTTTGGGTTTACACCATGAGGCACAAGAGTGAGGTATTAGAGATTTTTAAAACTTAGAAGAAGTGGATTGAGACTCAGACTAGGAAAAGGATCTGGCGTATCATATCAGATAATACAGGCAAATACACTTCAGATGTATTCTTACAAGAGTG